CATGCAGATGCAAGTGGCTGCCATATCTGAGTCTCCATCAACCTGGCTAGCACTGTTTGCTCTGCTCTGGTGATTCCCTGAGACCCCACACCACTCAACTTGTGGGCCCACCTAAGCTGCTTCCAGTGGCTTTTCCATACAGCCTGTCTTGGCTCATGCTCAGGACTTTCCTAAAACCTCTCAAAGGTTCACAAACCCCAAACAAGCAGCATCTGGCTTCAGTATGCCCTGTACCTCTTGCTAAGAAGCCCCTACCCCCGCACTGATGGCAACTGGCCTCAGTTCGCAGCTTAGCCTCTCCCCAGCACCCCCAAGCCCAGCACAAGTGGCAACTATCTGCAGATCACTTTGTAGCTCATACCAAGTGGCCCTAGGCAGGGCACAGGCGTCGGCTGAAACTGGCTTGCACCAGATCCCCTCCCAAAAGGCCCCAGAACCCACACATCTGGTGGCCAGCTTCGGACCACACCAGAGCACCACACAACCACCTCTACAAATGATACACCCAAAGAGCAGACTGGGCAGGCACTAGAGCCCTGCTAAAGTGAATCCTGCTCCATAGGGTCAGCCCCTGCACAACAGCTCCTCCACTGTAGTCATGGCCAGTAGTCATGGCCAGTCCTCACAACCAATCAGCCCAAGAGTCAATCTCTCCCATTGACATACAAACAGCAACCAAGGCTCAACTACAACCCACACAAGGGACACACGTGGAGCACCTAGCTCAGGTGACTAGGGAGACTACACCTGGGTCCCACAGGATACCGACTACATAAGGCCACTCTACTAAGACCAGGAGACATAGCAGCCCTACGTAATACAAACAAACACAAGGAAGCAGCCAAAAACGGGGAGACAAAGAAACCTGTCCCAAATAAAAGAAGAGAACAAAGCTCCAGAAAAAGAACTAAAGAAAATGGAGACAAACTGTCTACCAGAAGCAGAGTTCAAAACACTGGCTATAAGGATGCTCAATGATCTCAGGGAGAACTTCAACAAAGAGACAGAAAACATAAAAGTGGACATAGAAAACATAAAAACGAACCAGTCAGAAATGAAGAATATAGTAACTGAAATGAAGAATACATTACAGGGAATCAATAGATGAGATTAACAAGAGGATCGATTCAGTGATTTAGAAAATAAGGTAGTAGGAAACACCCAATCAGAACAGCAAAAAGGAAAAAGAACTTGACACATAGGCTGAAAGTGAAGGGATGAAAAAAAATATTCCATGCAAACGGTAGGCAACTAAAAGAGAGTAGGAGTAGTTATATTGGGCTGTCAGAAAAGTCATGATGTATTTTTTTCTATGTTTTTCGTTGCAAAAATGCATCATGACTTTTCCAACAACCCAATCTTTATTGTATTCACATACAAAGAACGAAATTAGATCCCTATCTTACACCACTCACAAAAATTAACTCAAAATGGATTAAAGACTTAAATGTAGTATCTGAAACCATAAACTCCTAGAATAAAAAAATAGGAAAACTCCTTGACAATGGTCTTTACAATGATTTTTTATGTGACACCCCAAGCACAAGAAACTAAAGCAAAAGTAAACAAGTGGTATTACATCAAGCTAAAAATCTTCTGAACAGAAAAAAAAAATCAATTAAATGAAAAGGCAACTTAAAAAAGAAAAAAGAATCCCAAAAAATGAGGCTAGTTTAAGGGGCCTCTGGGACGTAAGGATACCATAAGGAGAAAAGAGAGCAAGGAATTGAAAACCTATTTGATGAAATAATGATGGAAAACTTCCCAAATATGGCAAAGGAAACAGATATACAAACCCAGGAGGCTCAGAGAGTCCAAAAAAACAAAATAAACCCAAAGAGGCCCACACCAAGACACATCATAATTAAGATGCCAAAGGTTAAAGACACAGAAAGAATCTTAAAAGCAGCAAGAGAAAAGCAATTATTTACCTAGAAGGGAGCTCCCATAACACTGTTATTTAGCTAGAAGGGAACTCCCATAAGACAGCTGATTTCTCAAAGGAAACTTTGCAGGCCAGAAGGGATTGGCAGGAAATATTCAAAGTGATGAAAAGCAAGGACCTACAATCAAGATTACTCTCTACCCAGCAAAGCTATCATTTAGAATCAAAAGACAGATAAGGAGCTTCCCAGATAAGAAAAAAGCTAAAGTAGTTCACCACCAAACCAGTATTACAAGAAATCTTAGAGGGCCTTCTTTCAGACAAAAAATAACAAAGAG